TGTGGCTCTCTCTGACAGACTGCGATGCAAAACTCTGGAAGTCTCGAAGCATAATGATTCAAGCGTATCTCATTCTCAATGCGCAACATTCACAAGTCTGAAAGCTTGTCAATTACGTTCGACGCGATTCACATGTGTTTATTGTACATTCCATATAAATATTTAGTAAATAAAAAAAATGCGAAGGTGTTGAGAATTAATAACTTAATTTTTATAACACGCAATTAAGTCCTTAAAAATTCAGCGATAAAATTACCAAACTCGGTCAACTGCAATATTGATAATAAAAAAAAAAAAAAAACTTATCTGAGTTTGCGTTTTAATATGCAATACAAAAAAATACGCGAGCTACGAGTTTGATACGCGTTGAGACATTATGCCGTAAATTCTCGCTTTCTTCGGCGGCATCTCTTCCCGTTCGTCTTGTTGTCCCCCTACCTCCTCATTCGCGTGTTCGTCGAATTGTTTTCTTTAACAATAGCAGGTACTAGCATAGCTACCACAGTCGTACGTATCGTTAATAGTTACAATTAAGTTTAGATATTACTAAAGGATTCTCTGTTCTTCATCAGTATCTCTTCTCACGTCTCTATTTTTATTTTATGTTAGTTAGTTCCGCGGTTAAAACTTGTTTTTTTTTTTTTTGTTTTTTTTTCACACCCTCGGCCCGACCGGAAACCGCCTGCTGCTCCTGCTCGTGTCGTTCTTTTTTTTTTTTTGTGTGTGTTTTTTTCCCGAGTCGATAATTAACTAAATATATATATATATAGAGAATAATATACTTCGCGCGCGCTTTAATTACGAGAGACAATATATCGTATATATATAAAAACCGACTCTTCTCGAGATGAGAGACACGACTCTCTCGCGATACTTCATGAAAAACATGCGATTATTTAATTTCCGTCAGATTAAAAGTTTTTTTTTAGACACACCAAGGAGAGACAAATTTTCTTTTATCTAATTTACAAGATCTATTTTTTGTTTTTTGTTTTTTTTGTTTTTTTTTAAATTACGACTTAACGCATTTAAAGTGAATTTCACTTGTTTTCGCATCGAACCTCTCGGCGGTTTAAACGATCGATCCGGCGATCCGCCTCGAAGGCCGAATGTAAGAAAAATTTACAAAAAGGCCTATACAAAAGTCCGTATAAGAAAGAACGACACACTAAAATACATCATTCCTAGGAAATTACACTAGACATTTACACGCTAATGTGTTAATATATCGACACTCTCTACTACGCGAGTAAAACACGATAAAAATTGTCTAAGAAGAGGGCACGGGACGCAGCCGATCGTCGCGATTGATGCACGCCGGCGGTCTCCGAGAATCTGGCGGGCCTGTTTTCCTTGCATTTTGTCCCACGACCACAGGATTTAACACTTTTTTTTTTTTTTTTTTTGAATACTTTTAGCACCTAGTGTCCGCGGCCCGCGGCTCGCGGCACCTCCACCGCAGTTATTGTCGCAACTGTTTTAACACAACTGCGAGATTCTCGTCGGCGAAGCTCGACTGTTTGCGGCCGACATGCGAGAGAGATCGAGTACATTTTTGTTTGTTTTTCTATCACTAATCGCGCGTCTCGACCTTTCATTATCTTGCAAAAAAAAAAAAAAAAAAAAAAAAAAATAATCAAACTCAAACTTCTCGTTACTTTCAACGCGTGTAGATTTTTTGGTCGACGCACACAACCTTCAAGTGAATATATTTACAAATAGGTAGGAGATAAAAAAAAAAGAGTGTTCATTTTTTAAAAACGCGATCCGCAATTCTCTCCTTGATTTTTGTAAGACGGGTTTTGAGAAAGGAAGACGGTTCTGACTAGAGAGATCTTCGTTGTGTTACTTCGGTGGTGTATTTGCGGTTGTATTAAAAGTATTGTTTTTTTTTTTGTAACGTAACATTTATACAAAGCGAAGCTTCTCGATAGCGATTTTTTAAGATGAACACTCTCTCTCTCTCTCTATATATATATAGCACTCTATAGAGTTCCCAATATTTTGTATAAGTAGCTAAAATAAATACACAAGATTACAACAACATCGAATTTCGAGATAAAATACAACAACTATTTGTAGCAAAAAAGAAACTTGACGTATGATATATTTCATTTATGCTTTTCTCTCTGCTGGAGTAAAAGATCGATATATTTTTCAACATATATAAACACACGCAATATCTCACGAATCCGGACGAACTCGTCGCCTCGCCGACAAGGACAATAACGCGCGGCCTTTAATTACGTAATCACCTAATTAACCTCGTGAACGCTAAGTGGCAACGTTGCTCTCTCGAACCTACTTTGCCGGCCATTTATTCATCTTCCGGTTGCTATTTTTGTACTTGATTCTCTTTTTTTTTTTTTTTTAGCATTAAGCGTTTATTTAAAGTAACTTTTGTTTTGATCGAAATATGTCGCGACGACTAGGACTTGTGCGTTGTTTTTTGTGTCTATAAATAATTTTTGATTAATATTACACACAATATGCATACATATATATATATATATATATATATCTAATAAAGTAATATTATACACACAATGTATATGTATCTAATAACTGGAAAATTTTCGACACAAAATTTCTCCGGGTTTTTTTTTTTTTTTATTCAGAATTGAAACATGTAGCCGAGCAGTTGTTGCCGAGGTTTAACAATTCAAAGAGCAGTTTCTCGAAGGGTCATCGACTCCGCATGCCAAATCGAAAGGTAATATCGCGAAAGGAAATCGATTCCCGATGGTTTTTCTGCAGCGAGCGCGACTGGGGTGGACCAGCTCGCAAGCGTAAGCGAGAAAATATCGAGAGATCAGCAACGAGGCCACTTACGTCCCTTTACGAACACACCAAGTTGGCTCTTTTTCTATCTCGCCCTTTACTTTTTCTTTTCTTTTTACTCTCGTCCCTCCCTTTCTTCGTCTCCTCCTTGCCTAGCGCTCTCTTTCTCTTTCTCTTTCTCTTTCTCTCTCTCTCTTTCTCTCACACTCTCTCTCTCTCTCTCGCTCTCTCTCATCTCGTTTTTTCTCCTACTTTTCTACTGCATTTATTATAAAAATAAAATGTAAAATCGTACCGAGGACGAGTTTTCCGAACGGTATAAAACTCCCGAGCTTGTTTTTTTCTTCTCTTTCTCTACATTATCTACCCTATATTCGTAGAAGGAAAATCAATCCTTCGTCCTGATTTCTTGTTGTTTCCTCTACCGTCTCGTGCGATTAAACGGGCCGTCTTTTGTTTTGTTTTTTTTTTCTTTTTTCATTTTTGTTTTTTTTTGTTCAAAAAGTTCTCTCTTCTTGTTTGTTTCCGGGTCGGTGTTCACGGTCCGACCTTCGATATGAGATCCGACCGTAAATACCGGCCTTGATCTCGACAAAAAAAAAGGTTCTCCACACACACGCAATAAGGGAAAGCTATTTCCCGATTCGATCTTCTGCTCTCGTTGGGACGCGCTTTTACGTATTTTAGTGCCTGAATAGCTTCCACACCACGTCCGGCGCATATCCGGCTGCGTATCCGCGCGAAACGAAAAACCTCTCGACGCTCTTCGTGTCGATAGAGACAAAAAAAAAAAAAGAAAAAAAAAAAAATTTCTGGAAGACACCTTACCTTTTGTCGATCCGTCGGTCCGCCCCCGAATCTCCCGTGACGGCTCGCACACGACACGAGTGGCGGACAAAGTAGTTCCTACCGTTTCGCGAGAACCCGTGAAGAGTGAGTGCATCTTGAATATATAATACATAGGCTCTACAGATATATTCATTATCAATTCTCCAACTATATATATATATATATACCAGTGAAAAAATAAATTATTACACCTTGGTAATATCTGTGTGGGTTTAAGTGTGTCACATGTGATTTCTCTCTCTCTCTTCTTTTTTTTTTTTTTCACTTAGTGTTTCGTGTATATTTGGACGCTCGCGTGTGACATGTGGTGGTCTACGTGTGCCCGCGTGGATCCGTTTATGGGGATGTGTGTGTAAAAAGGGAAGATCGGTATGTAAAATCCTGTGAATGTTATGTATGTGTGTGTGTGTGTGTGTATGTGTTTATTTATATGTGCCGCGCGCGTACGTATCATAACGCGTCGAATGTGAAAGTGTGTCTGCTTGTCCCAGGTGTATTGGCGCTCGATGCGTCGTTCGAACGTTCGCCATTGCGCTCTACGTACACATGTTTAATATCCTTGCGTGTGTATCTATGTTTGCACATGTGTGTGTTTTGTATATATGTGTGTGTGTGTGTGTGTAGATGGGTAGTAGCCGCACATTGGCTTTCGTCCAACGAGCGTCTCTCGCGCCATCGCAATCGAGTCCTTATCGGGTGTTTCAGCCCCAATATATATATATACACTCTCGTCAGTAGTTAGCCGCTTCCTTCCTTTCTCTTCCTCGCTCTCCTCCACGCCTCTAAAACCCATCCTCTATACCCACACGCTACCTTGCAACAGGCGTACTTGGTAATAATCAGGCATCATCGTCTCCACACGCACACGCTCTCTTCGCCTTCTTGCGCGCTTTCTTTCCTCGCCTCGATCGCTTTCCATCGCGCGTTATCGGTGCCGATCGTTCGGCGGTTACCAAAGAACATATTCGTTCCGTCTCTCCTCCGGTTCGTCGTCATCGATAGTGTTATGTACAAAGTGTCGCGAGCTCCTTTTAATAAGGGAAGTTCGAACGAAAGAGCGTTCCTGAGAAGCGAATCTGAAGATGGGAATCGCGGGAGAAGACAGGTAACCTTGTAAGTCGTAGCCGGCGGACTGCGATCGGGAGGAGAGACGGATCGTGAGACACCGGCTGACGAAGTGCTCAATGTACGGAAGCCGCCGGACTCCGAACGCCATCGCGAAAACGAAGTTTCGGAAACGACGGTCTTCTCTCCTTCTCGTCCGAACCAGCGGCACCGAGAACGAAGCAGCCGCGCATGTCGGGACGCTGCGCGATGACGACGCGTCCTTTAGCGTTATTGTGAGTTTGACGAGCACGCGCAGCGAGGTATTAGTTGGCCACGAGCAGATGCTGATACTGGCTGGCCGGGTAAGGCGCGACCGAGCCAAGGCCGAAGTTGTTGAGGCCCTCGACCAGGGCGCTCTTGTCCTGTTGCTGGGCCGCAGCGCCAGTGGCATTCACGTTGCCGTTGGTCGTCGAGCCGATCGGACCGAGGCCGGCGCTACTGGCGCTACCGGCGCTTTGGCTACCGCCGGTACCGGTACCGGTGGTGCCGTTGACGCTGCCGCCGGTTCCGGCACCGGTACCGTTCACGCTGCCACCGTAAAACTGATGGCCGGCCAGCGTGGTCGGGTCGAGGTACGATGACGGGAACTTTGCGCCGTAGAGATCAGCCGGCAGGTATCCACCGTGGCTCGACGAATCGAAGATGTTGCGATGGGGGAACTGCGCGTGATACGCTGCCGCGGCCGCCGCGGCAGGTCCGTGTTGAAAGAAGTACGCGCTGGGATCCGTGTGTTGCTGTCCGGCTCCGGCGACGATGCTACCGGGCGACAAACTGCGACTACGCGGCGAACTCTGCGAGACCGGCAGACCTGCGCCAGCTGCGCTCGCTTGTTGTTGTTGCTGCTGCTGCTGTTGCTGCTGGTGCTGCTGTTGTTGCTGCTGCTGCTGTTGCTGATGGTGGTGATGATGGTGGATCTGCTGCTGCATCGCCGCGCGCTGTTTTATGTAGTTCGAGAACTCCGTGGGCGACATTCTGAAACCGAGCGTTATCGATGCGATTCATCAATAATCGTACACGCGGAAATCAGAATGACAGACATCGTCTCGTTAGTGACGCGCGTTGCCATGTGGATTCAAACGGGGATAACGCGCGGAATAATACATTAGTTCTTGATGATCATGTTTTTCATCTTTGAAGCATGCTTTCGTGATAATTTGTTGCGGCGAGATGATTAACTAATTCATCTAAAAGCGATCCCACTGTTCAACTTGTTTCTCATACCGCGGGAACTGAATGATGAAAGTGTTGATGTTAATTTTTTTTAATAATTGAAAATGTACTTATACCTGTGTGAGACAATTTCAAGCAGCATTCCACACGTTTACAGATTATATATATATATATATATGTCATCTAGGAAATTTAAAACAAATGTTACATTGAAAAAAGAATTGTGTTTTGGAAATAAACTGCGCATGTCTTCTTTTGAAGTAAAATTTTTCATCGAGTTTCTTTTGCCGCGGCAACAAAATATTCATCGTACACTAGCTAAATAACAAAAACATGCACATAACAAATTTTTGACTTGGACGACACATTTCGGTAAACAACAACAACTAACCTGTTGGCGCGTTTGCTGCTAGTCTTGAGCTTGGTGCTGCCAAACTTGGTTTGGGCGAATGTGGCGGTGGTAAATGTAAGCGGAGCGGTGGTGCGCGGAATAAAAGCCGGCACGGGACTGGGTGAGCCCTTGAAGGAGTTGGTGATGGGTGTGGGCGAGGGCGCCGATGAGGAACCGGATCCGTGGCTGTTCTGCTGATTGTTGGACGAGCCGTTGCTGGCGTTGCTGCCAAGCGAGCTCGAGAACGGCGAGGTGGACTTGGGACTGAGACTGAGGCCGCTCAGGGACGTGCTCACGGCCTCGATCGGTCTGAAGCACTGCGCTTCCGGGTTGAAGGTTTTGGTGACCTCACGATCGGCCGAGGTCTCGTCGTGCGGATCGCCGGTTTCCGAGTAAAGGATCTTTACGGCGTTCAACTCGCCGATGCGATAGCTCACTTCACCGGGATCAACCCAGACGGCGAGCTCGGCCGGCAAGTTCTCGAGGATGTCCTGAATCGGCACGCCGCTCTCCTTCGCGGCGCGCTCCAGCACCGGATCGACCGGATCGCCGGTCTTCAGACATCTGAAGGCCGAGCCCTTGAACGGTTTCTCCGGATACCAGTGGCCCTTGAACTTGTCCTTGAGCGCCTTCTCGAGCTCCTCGCCAAAGATGTTGACCCGTCTGCGCGGCAGTTTGTTGTAGAGGTACGATATCACGAAGTTAAGCGCCACCTGCACCTCGATATGCATCTTGGTCTTCGGTGGAAGAATCTTCGGGCTGTTGTCGTCGCTCGCAGCGCCCGCGCCGGGATAACACCGAGGACGTCCGTACGATCGGTCGTCTTGCCACGGGCGGAAGATTGTTCTGGATGGTAGTTTGCACGCTCGATTAACGGAGCTACCGGATCACGTTCTGTGGCTCAACCAACTCTTCTGATTTCTCAACCGAGCAAATGTCTTGCGATCGCAAAGCGCTCTCTCTCTCGGGGATCTGCAATCATACGTAAAGACAGACGTGTGAGAAAACGCGCACTGTTCGCGTAGATAATAAAACGGTAAAAAGCGCTCGAGAAAATTCGCTTCTCTCTCAAGTAGATCAATGCGTTTCCACTGAAAATCAGCGAATGTTTACTTGATTCAAATAGTCCTTGTGTTACACTGAGAATTGGTGTAACTCGCTAATTTATTCGGTCGGAACACTTTTACTTTTGCCCTCACTGGGCCAATCAGTAAATCATCAAAATTAAAATAATTTGTAATATGAAAATAATTTGATTTATTTTAATGTCCTCGAATTTTCTTGATTATTTTCTACGTTGTCTTGATAATAATTCAAAAAAAAAAAAAAAAAAAAAAAACTATTGGAAACGAGTGAACCAGAAGTCTCTGATTACCAAGGCGCGCTCCTCAAGCAATTCAATCATTGAGACTCTCGAGAACAGTTATTGCGAAATATGTTAATGGCATTCAGTGACATACTGATTTCCAGTGAAACTATCTGTCACCGCGAATCAATCAGCGAAATCTCAACTAATTCCCAGTGAAATTAATCTGAATCAATCAGAGTGAAATTTTGACTGAATCTACTTAAGAAAGTTCCTCTCATATATTCCGGGTTAAACGCATTTCGAGATCTATTCTCCGCTCCTTCGGTGCGAGCCTTAATTACGGTTCGCAAATGAGTTTTCACAAATGAGCGGCGTCAAAAGTTTGCCGACTGCCGAATATTATCGCGCGAGACGACGATGCTCGTGTATGTAAGATACATTATTGAAAACCGCGACAACAGTCAGACAAACGCGTAAAATAAAGCAACGCAAAGTGTAAAAGTTATTGTATGTGTTTAGAATCGCGAGATCGCGCGTTCAAAAGAACTCTGCTATCTTCTGGAAAAGGAATCGCAACGGTTTCTTCATCGACGCGGCGTTATCGGCTCCTTTCACAAGGCTCGCGCATTGAAACGGAACGCGACTTCCGGTTACTCGCGCGTCTCCCCCCGTTTCTCGGCATCGCGCGTTCAAGGAACCGAAACAGAGAGTCGATCGTTCGTTCTATCCGCTTCGCGCGCGAGAACAAATTTCTTCTCTCAGACTCGCCTCTCAAAACACATTTTTAACAAATTATTCTCGCATCGAAGTTTATTGGACGTGCAATTTTCTCTTCGCGATTTTTCAGGAGAGATGCGCAATATATATCGGAGAATTTCCGACACCCGTGTGTTATTTGCGGAGCCGCTTAAATTTGTCAAACGCGTCGATTTATCTCCCAAAGTCACAAGTGTGCGTAATCGAGCGTTTCCTCGTCGCGCGATTCAATCATTCCTTTTAGTTGCTCGAGGTTGCTTAAATAAATTATGCGCGCGCGCGCGAGAGCGACAAGTGCGTCACGCGGACGGTGATCTCGTATGAGAAACAAGTCCGCAAACAAGTCCTGTGACGCAAACCGGGAGAGATAGAAAGAGAGAAAGGAGACGAGAGAAGTGCAACACGTGAAAGAGATTGCTCTTAGACCTCCGCCGCAGAAACGACGAAAGAGAGAGAGAGAGAGAGAGATTGCGCGCGCGAGAGTCGCCTCTATTGCCGCTATTCTCGAACACCGCCGCAAATGCGGAAGTTGCTCCTCTCTCTGAATGCCACTGAGAGCGAAAGGTGTTTCTCCCTTCTCTCCCGACGCGCTTCCTTCTTCTCCTCGCTTCTTCACCTTTTCTCTTTTCTCGCGATAGAGATTCTTGGGCGTCTACCAAAAGAGCTTCTTTCCCCTTTTCCCCTCCACCCCTCTCTCTCTCTCTCTCTCCCGCTCTCTCGGGCACATCCGGGCGATTCCCGAGTTTGAGAACTCGATTCCGCCCTTTCTTCGTTTCGCTGCTTCGCCTCTTCGAGCGACGAAAAAAAAAAAAAAAAAGGAAACCCGAAATGGAGAAAAAAAGAAAGAAAGGAAGAGCCGCAAAGAGACTTTTCCACGACTTTCGTCGAGGGGTCGATAACCCTCGAAAACGCGACTTCTCGCCTTTTATCGCGCGAGATTCTTCTTCCGTTTCTTTCTCACTTTCAATCTCTCTCTCGAAAGGACTTTATTTCCCGCGAGAAATCGTTTTCGAACACGCGAATTTGCAAATAGCGTTCGATGCGCGTCCGGATTTCATCGCGTTCCTGCGCTAGAAAAAAAAGAAAAAAAGAAAAAACGGCTTATTTTTTCCGAGTTTAGCTCGGGCGGTATCCGCGCGCGCGCTCGTATTCTCTCCGTCTTCCTATACTTGACTCGGTGGCAAGTTTCCACCGGGTGAGCTCGAGCCAAGAGGCGGACGGGATATGTAGGTTAAAGCTAGGCGGGTGTAGAACGACGGTCTGTACTTGCAGTAGTAGTACACGACGTCGAGACGGGGGTGGTTGTAGATATTGATCCCGCGGCAGAGGGCTGCCGGAAGGTTCTCAAGTTAAAAATACACGGCCTTGCGGCTCTCTCTTTCTCTCTCTCTCTCTTTCTCATCGGCTCCGTGCCTGGCCAAGTGCTCGTCAAATACCGCAATTTCCGCCACCTTGATTTTCCCGCGATACTCCTCGAGCAGAGATGCCTATCCGGTATAGTCGGTCAAGTTTGATAGCGAAAACAAATCGGCAACCCGCTCCGTTTTCTCGCCGCCTCCCCCCCTCTCCCCTTTCTCTCGGTTGTTTCGAATTGAACTGAATTTTATTTTTTTCAACAATATATACACATCGCGAGATTACGTTTACTCACTTTTTCATCTAACACTTTTCTTGCACTTTTTTCTATTTAGGGGAAAAAAATATTGACACACGAAATTATCGTTGACTTTGTTATCGTCCGCTAATTGTTTACGAGTCGTCGAGAGATCGATGCGCGGCAGGTGTCAAAGTGTCAAAGGGATTTTTTTTTTTCAGCCGCTCTTTCCACTTATGCGCGGAGTAGGTGCAATCGACACCTGGGCGCCGGCGTCCTTTGTATTTACGCCGGACTGAATGGAGGTCGCGTGGCGAAGAAGAGGGTACACGGTGTATATGTGGGCCGGAGATAAAGCGCGCGTCCTTCGACGAATGAAGTCAATGGAGCGGCAGGGGCTGATTCTCGATATTCACGAACGACGTTCGCGCGCGCAACACGCGACAGCATCTCGGCCGGTCTCTCGACACGTCGGAGAAACGCGCGGGTTGTTGTGACGATCGAAGAACAAAGAAGTGAGCACGCACGTATAATTAACCCCCATCCCTCGTTCTTCTCGTTCGCATTAACGCTTCGCGTAAAACGGGCGGCTGTGTGTTCCGTCGCGCCGCCAGACGCCGATCAATGCACTCTTGATGAGATACTCGCAATGTAAGACGTGATATGTCACATACGCGGCCAAAGCGGAGACGCTGACGCAGAGGCGCGCGCGAGCGATACCTACTCCGATATATAATCTTCGTGACGACGAAAGACGCGCGCGCGCGCGGACGAAAGATTTCTCATTACACCAGAATTGAGATATGTTTTTTTTTTTTTTTTTTTATCAAAACACTTTTCTCTCCGCAGTGCGCAATTCTTCTAATACCCCGAATTATCCGCGAATTATTTCCGACATTGGGGATTTAACTGCGGGAACTCGAGCCAAGAGGCGGACATATCAGCGACAATAATTTTCCAAAGTGCCGTGCGCACACACAATCTGACTCTCCGAGCCAATTATCGTGACACGAGAGCTGTTCTCCCAATTCACGATTCAGCAAAGCGGGTTAAATCCGCCAGCGCGCGCGCGTTTAGTTTGCATATATATATACATATATATATATATATATATATTCATATATTCGCTTAATCGATCCCCGAAGAAACAGCCGAGAGTTGATTTAATTACGTCGACCGTGCGCAAATTGGGTCAAGACGACGCCCAAGCGCGACGTCGTCCCGGGACGCGCGTCGCCCGTCCCCAGCGGCACCGCCGCTATATCCTTCGGATTGGATAGAGAGATTGGAGGAGTTTCGTCGAAGGAGAGGTCGTCTCTGAGCCGAGAGAGGGAGAGAGGGTGAGAGAAAGAGAGAGAGAGAGAGGCGAGACTCTTCTGAAAAGAGCGCGCGCCGTAATCTATTCGTTATTGAACCTGTTTGAGGATTATCCAGACACGACGATTTCTTTGTCGCGACGATTCCACTCGATTCCTCGTGACAATGAGAAACAGGCGGCGCGGGGAGGAGGAGGAGAGGAACTCGCGCGGAATCGCGTTGCGCAATTATTCATCGGTTACACAACGAGTCGCGCGCGCCACGTGCACGCGCGCGCGTCTCTATTCTCTCGACAATCTCTTCTCTCATGACGTTTTTCCGAATTCGCTGAATAAAAGAAGACACGCGCTACTACGTTTCGATGAAACTTTCACGTGGATCGGATCTCGTCCAGACTGAATGTCACGTTGACGATAAGTTGTTTTTTTTTTTTTTTTTTTCTCATGCGCGCAGATTTCGATCGAAAATCGAGAGAAATTCTATTCGAATATATATATATTGCTCTTGTGCTCGAGAAACGCGCGGCGTTTCGCAAACTTAATTTTTTACGAGCTTCTTCCTCGCGTAGCAGCTTGAAAGAAAGATCACCTCTGCACGTGTACACACGTAAGCTGCGCGAGGAGAAGAAAAGCCGATTCGCAAATAAAAACTTGACGAAGAATCCCTCTCGCGCGAAACCTTTGAACACACGACCGGGCGAATCCTCACGCGTATGCAAATTCCAATGTTATTCGCGAGCACGTGTCCGACCGCGTCTGACACGCTCGCTCGATCTCGTTTCCCGACGAGCACACGCGCGCGTATACACACACACACACACACATGCAAAAGTAATTCGAGTAATTGCGGCGACACATGTCGCGCGTAATCCTCGCGCGCGTTATATTTCTCGCATTGACGCGTTTGGGAAATGTAAATTCTCGAGCGATTTCGTATGCGCGCGAAACGGTCGGCGAAACGGTCGCAGGCAGAAGGGAGATTTTAACGTCGTTCTTA